GAGATAAAAGAAAAAGATTAAAACCAAGTGTTGAAGTTCTTTATCCCTACAACAACACGAAGTGAGCTTTCTAGTCCTTGGGGTTAATTATGTCTCCTTGAGATTGAGGTTTTTAACAAATACTCAACTCTAAGACTATAAACACCCAATCTAAGTTCTTAGTTGCAAAGAACTTCTCGAGGTGGGTAGAGAAATAGGCACTCCCACCTTTCGGTTCAAAGACAACTAACTAGAATTAAAAGAAGTGGTGTAGAGATGTTAAACTACACACAAAGACATGAAATAAAACAAAAGGCAAGAAAGTAAACCAACAAAACACAAGATCTATAGTGGTTCGGCAATGTGCCTACATCCACTCTTCAAGTCGCCACCATTGCATTAAGAAGATCCAAAGTAAAGGTGCACCTACTTTCACTCTAAACTACTCCCTTTAGTGTTGATCTATTTAACTTGAAACTTGTAGAGACACTCTTTGTCTCTAACCTAGTTACCACCAACTAGGATTTCACCAATACACCTTCAACAAGATGTAGAACACAAGAAACAACTGCTAGCTTAGTTGGTTTCTTGTCCCTCTCACAAGACCCCCACAAGTGAGAGGTTGTGAGTTCAATTCCAACCAATAGTATTTGGGGGAATTTCTCGTGTAATTCTTAGGTGGGCCAGCCTTCGGGCCTTGTTTGTGATAGGCCTTTGGGCCCAAGATCTAGAGGAGATTGAAGTGATGTGGCTACTTAGGTGGAGCAAAGCGAAAGCAAGTCTTCATAGAGTGGGTGCTCTGGTGATGTGGAGGCTACGTAGATACTTAGGTAGCGACAACCTATAGAATAGCCTACGGGCCTAGTTTCAAATGTAACCCTTCGGGGATAGTGATGTAGCCTTCGGGCCTTGGATTATAAACAAATTTTTTTTTAGAACACTCAAAGGTCACACCTTTAATGTGATTTGGTTTCTCTTTGCGCTGCTCACCTCACTTGATGGGGTAGATAAAGAAAAAGTTTTTAGCTCACTCTAGAGAAATCAAGAGTTGATTCTCTTTACAAATCACTCACTTACTAATGGGTTGACAAAAATTAGGTCTTGAGAGTGATTTGGGATAGATTTGACGAACTTGTAGAAATGTAGCTAAAATGGTGGTAGTTATTCTTTGCTTCAAGTTTGCTCAAAATTCTCAAGTGGTTTTAGGGTATCTCTTGCCTTAATAACCCTTTAAAGTGTTATAGATCTATTGGTCAAATATGTTTGACCAATTTGGAGAGTTAAAGCAATGGGCCGGAATGAACAGTATCAATAAAGGCCCAAAAACCAGTTTCAGCCTGTCAATCAGTCGACTGAAGAACAATTCTTCAGTATCCAACAAAGGGTCAGTCGAATGATGAGTAAATAGCAAAACATCATTTTCTTGATCAGTCGACTAAAAAACAAATCTTCAATATCCTTCATATGGTCAGTCGACTGAAGGATAAATATGTACTTCCATTCCTTCATCAGTCGACTGATGAGCAAATGTACACTGCCTTGATTTTTCATTCCGGATGTTGCCGCTCGTGCAAGTCTTGATGTCTTAAGCTCCGAAACTTCACGGGCACACTCAAAACATGACTTAGGACTGTTTCAAGGACTCATTACAAACATTACATGTGAAATAACCGTTTTGTTCTCTTTTGTCACAATTCACAACATATTACATTTACACAAGTTTTAGGTATTTGAGTTATATTAGGAAATCTATGTAAGGGTTATCTATATAAGCTGTCCTACAAGCAATTTTATAAACACAATACTACCATCAATTTTATCAAAAAATTTTCTTCAAAAACCAATCAAATCCTTCAACTATTATTCATCA